TATGTCATTTTCTAAACAAATATTAAGCATCCAGCATGAAGAACACATCATGGAAGTTTATTTGTCCTGCGTCTCTCCTATCATGATTAGAAGAGAGCCTTTACCCTCCACCCTCATCCTCCACCCCACCCCCCATGCCCCCCCCCAGAAATCAAGGAAATAAATACATGATTCACTTGGGCCTTCATTTTCTAACCTCAGAGGGGTCCTCTGAGGTTAGTACCCATTTAAGAGTAAGGCAGTTTGGAGCCTAATGCTAAAGTAGCTGCCCAGGCATCCCTGATGCAACAGACCTGTGTATGTGCACCTCCCACAGGGACAATCTGCTGTAGAAAAGCTTTGGATTTATGTCTAACTTTACTTGCCCAGAAGTTAGATGCACTGAATTCTCCATTTGATTTCTTTCTGACCACTCATGCAGAAAACGAGTTTGGAGATGAGTGTGTCACATTGGGGTGCCCTGAGCTGCTGCCCTAGACAACCAAAGCAGCTCTGTGCTTGGGTGGCACTGCTGAATTGGGTGGAGAACAGGCTCTGGAGCTGCATTATGGATTGCTTGGACTTCAGTGCCCAAGATGAACTCTGGATTCTTAATCACAGTTCTATGGCTTGCTGTAACTCAGTACCTGTGAAAATCAGGCCACCATACATTTTTCCCCTTGAGTCATGCATTACAATGAAAATTAATAAGACTTTTTTTTCTAAATCAGTGCTTTTTTCTACCGAGGTGACATAACATTGCTCTGTAATATGGGTAATCGAGAGTTGTATGCAGACTATCAGCTTCAGGCACCTGTTTAGGTTTTGCTGTGCCTAAAAGGTGGATACTCAGCCTCAGCAGAATAATTTAGATCATCCACATGAAGAGCCCTAACTACCTTCTACACAGTCAGAGTAAGATCTAAATGTTTCTGAAGACCTCCCAAAAAAAAAAAAATTCAAAGGTTATATGTTGGGATCACCCTACTGATCACTATGGTAGGAACACTTCCATAGAACTATTCATAGTGTCAGCACGTGCAATTATTAATGCTGGATTGTTGTTCCTAGTTTATGTCCATTTCCGGAAAACAAATTTAAAAGTGCAGAATCTTTTTGATTCTGTTAAACAGGCATATAATTACTTGAAAGTTACTGACATTGAAAGCGTGGAGTTATGAGAGTGATCAGAGCAGTGTCTAAGTTTTGCCGATGCCAAAGCATGTTATTAAACAATGGAAAACACATCTAAAGAAAGGATATATGATATTTACAGAAATAATAAATCAAGTTTTGTGCATAACTTTTTCAGAGAGCCATATGAAATGCAGCTTACAAAGTCGTACATTTTTTCTTGGTGACATATAGTGTTTCAGAACAGTGTAATTTTTCACCCATTCATTTGAGGTGATCATAAGTGACTGGAGTTTGCATGAAGAATCCATAAATACTGTGACAAATAGGGAAATATCAAGACTATTTTAATGACTTGTGCATGCCTCTTTTCTATTGCTTGGTAATTGCTGATTTGGTCTGTGATTAAATCGAAGACTGCTCTTCAGGAAGAAACAGGAAGAAATTAAAAAGTGGCAAAGACTAGACTGTAGCCCAAAGTAAACAGTGTCAAAGATTGTAAGACAATAGTGGATGCCTCATCAGTTGTGAAATAAAAGCTTTCCAGACTGACATTTGGGAACAAAACACTGATGAATTGTAAAGCTGCTGATACTAGAAAAGGGGAATTATTTCTGCATTGTCAGATTGGCAGGGACATGTCTAAATCTGCATTAACAGACACTTTGGCCATCATTGAGATCAGATTCATGAGCTGTCCAAGCAACAGGCTTAAAAGGTCTGTTTAGCTGGTGGTGGAGGCTCCTGGAGAGAAAGAAGGGCCAGTGTTAATCCTAGGAATGCCTGGCAGAGCAGCCAAGTTCATGCAGAGCAGCAACTACCTAAGGTTCCTGGTGGAGCCTACTTGGACCATGCACAGCCACCCCAACAGAGAGCCAAAGACACAGACAAAGGGAAGAACCTGATGTGTGCAGGGTGAGGCATCTACATGGGTCTGCCTGCCCTCTTAACAATGAGGAGGGCTCTCTCTGGGAACAAGCAACAGCTTGGGGTGAGGCTTATCAGAGGCCATAGCTTAGCCCCATCTGGGAACTGGCAGGGATTTTAACAGCTGGAGCTCCCAAAGCAGCCAAACTGACCCAAACACAGCCCTGACCTCAAGGATGAACTCAAGAAGGACAGAAGCAATACAAGTACATCTCACCTCGTAACTATGTCGTACACAGCATGAGCTTCCACTGGAAAAATTCATCAGAATGCGAACTTTGATTTCACTGGTGTTTTAAGCTGGAACTTTTTTCCCAAGTTTTTACTGTGCATTTCCCAAACTTTTTCCCAAGTCTACTCAATATTGTAAAGAAACATAGAACATGAATGTTTCCCATATGAATCAAACAAAGTTTATAGTTTTTCACAAGTTTTATTGACATATGGTACTAAGCGCCTGCCGTAATGAAGGAAATTCATGTCAGTGGGAACACTAGAAAGAAAAAAAATAAAAGTAGGTGATTTATTAGGAGCAGTATCTTTTCCTAAAGCTGGCTTAAATTTGTAAGAGTTTTCCAGCATCTGTCTAAAGATTTTGCTGAATTTTTATCCACATGCAAGTAACATGGAATACTACAGTTGCACCATGATGTTCCCAAAAGGATTCTGCAAAGATATACCCTGTTAAGAAAACCTTTTTGTTAATTACACTGTACTTGGCAAAGGACCCAGAAACCATATCAGTGAGAGAACCATTCAGAAACATGTTTATATTAAACTTTCCATTTGGAGTCTCCTGTTTCACTGGGGTTATATGGTTGTAGCTCTTGTGACTTTAGCAGAATTATTCCTAATTTATCCTAGCATAACTGAATAGATTCAAATCTTAGAGAGCCACTGGAAATAACAGCAGCATAAAAAGCTTCAGTTTTACTATGACACTTAGAAATGAGCTGGGAGATTTCAGCACTGGGACGTGTAACTGGAGATGTTGATCAGACATGACAACTGGAAAGTTAATGTCGTGGAATACCTCACTCTGAAGGAATACAACTTCAAAGAGGGGGTTTTAAGTAGTGTGTATACCTATCACTAATTACATAGTTTATTTTAGCTAATCATGTTTCTGGTCAGGTATCCAAACATTAGTTAAACAGGATAGATGAGGATATATATATTTTATCAATAAGATAAGCCAAGACAGAAGCAGAGCTTGTGAAAGAATGTGAGAAAAAAAAGTGTTCATCATCATTGTAGGCACAACCTACAGTAATAGCATGGAAGGGGAGAGTTCAAAGTTTTGTGTGAAAAGTTCACTTTTACAATATAAAATTGAATATTTTTAAGGTTGCATTTGTTTCATGTGTGCTTAAACATATTATTAACTTATTTATAAACCATCTTCCTTTCTGTATTAAGCTGAACTGTCAAAGATAGTATCTCCTGATCTTCAAAGCTATGGGAGGAGTTCTTCATAAATGTACTAGTTCAAAACAGAAAAGGTATTCTGAGGGTAATGAACTAGCCAGAGTCATCAAAATAAATTATTATGTCCAGACATTAAATCTGTGAAGATAACAATGCAGCAATACCAGTTCCTGAAGATGCAAGCTAGTACAATGCTGTTTATGCCAAGACAACATTCCTGTTAGATTTAGTGGGTACCATGAAACTTCCAGGCACTTCTGACTGACAATGAAGATTTTTCATCTTTCATTTACAGTCTGAAAAAGGAACTTGAAAAATTGTCCAGCAATCATTTGTGTCTGATTGTGCTTCTGCTTATAATAGAAGCCCCTGAAATGGTTTACTTGCAGTGTTTCTGGATGACTAAGCCTATGTTTTAAGTAACAGCATGAATGCAAGCAGGAGCATAGAACTGGGAAGAAACATCCTCCATTACTGAGGGTTACTGAATCCTATCCTTTTTTCTCTCATGTCACTTTTTCATCTTACACTCTTTTCCTCATGAAGCAGAGACACTTACATGTTGAAATACACTGGCCTTGGTTGCAGTTCTTCACCTGAGCACTTGGACTTTATGCAGTTGAAGAAAGATGGTTTGGGAGGAAAAAGCACCTACCCTCGAGAGTTTTCCTGCAATTCATGTGCCTTTGAGACACCTATGATGTACAGGCATCCACTGACCCCGACCTTCTTGCTTCATTCACATTCCAGCTCATTTTAAGTTTGTAAACCTTCTTGGTCGTGCATCAGTCCCTGTTTTCTTTGTGTATTGAGGTACACTGGGCACTTCTGAGATTTCTGGCTAATTCTCAAATGGTAACTATGCAGAGGCATTGTTAGGAAAGGGTAGAGGATCCATTTTTTTCAGACAAATAAGTAGAGTAATTCAGCTTAAGTAGCTGTTGCAAAGGAAATCAGCAATATCTACATGTCTCTGAGGTTTAAGGTGCCAGCTGATCCAGGATGGATGTCATTCTTCATTTGTTTCTGGTGAAAAGGTACTTTTTATATTTTCACCAGTAATAAAGCACTGGATCACTCCACAGCCTCCTTATTAAATGAAATGGATCTTCTCCTTTGTCTTCAATGTCAGGTTAATCAATAGTGGTAAAAAAATAACAATTTAATATAACTTCAGCATCTTTCGATTCTGCCATTACATCTGTTAGCTCATCACTTTCCAGTAAGTCAGAGAATGTGATGAAAAACAGTGAGACATGAGGAATAGACAAACTGGTACTCAACTATTAGTCTCTTTGAAAAATAACAGGGCTTTATTCCTTTCTAACTCTTACTGTTTACACTGGGGACTAGCCAGGCCTTTTGTGACACAAGCACAGATACACAAAAGTGCATCATATAGTTTGTAAACTGATGGAGCTCTGTCTTATTTGTAGTCCTTATTTTTCCAGAACCTCTGTGCAGGCAGTTAGAAAACACTGAGGAAGAGATTTTTAAATGCTGCTTGTTTAGTCTGCTGTTGTGTTTTACAGCTGACACCAGTCTGGGAACAGATGATGTTTATGATGATAAAGGGTGCCAGTGTGACGTGTCAGTAGAAGATCTCACTCCTGCTCTTAAAACTGTCATCAGAGCAATCAGGTGAGTAAAAAATACTAAATTAATAAATATTTGATATTTGGTTAATTAAGATGCTAATTAACTGCATGTCAATTAATAAAACTGCACTTAGTTGAACCTATTACATGGTTGTATTTGTTACATAACTAATGCTAATGTAGTTTATTTATGCTTTCTCTATATCAGTATTTTAATTAAAAGTTAAAATACTGTATCTGTTCTATTATCAGCTTTTCAATGTCTAAAAATGTTACACGATATGACTCAGAAAAGAAAGATAGTATTGAATGCTGGTTTCCACTATATTTCCTGTAGTCTAAAATACTGTAATCCAGTTTGATGTAGTTTCTCTGACTGTGTATCACCTTGCCTGGAACAGTTATTTCCTTTAAAAGTTTAGGGGTTTATTGCATTTCCATATTCCTGAAACTGTCTGTCATATGGCTTTTATTGCAACTTGCTCCTGGTAACAGCAGAATAATTACGTTCATTCATTCAATTGCGCAAAGCCTTGCCTGCCACTATCCATTGAACTAAATATAACCCAAATAATTTAAAACTAATAGTCTACTTCTTTTCCAAGAAAGTAGCAAACTGCCTGAAACTTTACAAAGGACCTGCCTGTACTGAAAGATTAAACTTAGCATCGACCCTTCTGAGACTGCCAACGCTCTTCACCTTCCTGAATATTTTGGAGTGCAAATTCTGACAGGCAAAATCCCCACCATGAAGAGTACATTGACAAGCCAGGAGGGCTCAAGCATTCCCTCCCTGCTGACAGCAAACCCAAGGTTATTACTGGGGGTCACCCCACGGGCTCTTCATCACAGTCACACTGGCACCCTTCTTGCAGGCGGGAAGGCAGCAGCCACAGAGGATATTTCCTGCAGAGGGATTCTCGCCTGAGTTTTGTCAGCACTGTGGGAGGAAAGAACTCAAGCTCTTTATCAAATAACTTCATACAATGATAACCTGTGGGATACTTGTGTTTCCTTCCCCCTTTTCCACTGACTGCCTGTGAAGACAGATAGTGAGCAAGGCAGTTTCTAATACTTTTCTACTAGCACAGACAGCTTGACAGATCGCTTGCAGATGTCTGTTCCAACCATTTTTCCAAACTGCCTGGAAATGACCTCACAGGACATGTCAGATACCAGGTCCGTGTCCATAGTCACTGCAACTGGCAACTCATGTGTACCACTGAGAACCATCTCTTGCCAGCAATGTTTCAGCAGGTGACAGAAATCCTTCTACACAGCAAACATCCACCTACAAGGCAGGTCAATTCCTTCGAGTGAAAAATGCTCAAATTAGGAACAATCAGCATAATCTGCTAGCTCTGGTGCCAAAGATTCTTGTCTGTGATGTTGCATTTTAAACAGACTGGCTTACTTTTGGCTCCAAGTGCACCTTGCCACTGTACTGGCAAGTGATACCAATGGTCATCTCATTCTTAATGCTGTCCAAATTCCTTAAGACTGACTTGGTATTTTAATACTAAATTCGTGGAGCTTGTTTTCAAAGACACCACTGTATTTTCCAATGCATCAGCTGCATCTTTGCTTGGTTCCCTTGGTAATTATCACCTCAGATGGAAAGTAATCAAATGTGAAGGACATAGCTGGCAAACTTTCCCCACAGTGCCATGCACAGAAATATCCTAATAAGAAGAGCAAAGATGCAACAGTTTGATTGTTTCACACATGGACTATTTGACTGACGAGAGTCAACTTTTTCCAGCTTTTTCTCTGCACACTCGGCTTAACAAAACACAACTCATTTCACCACTGAGGTTGAGAACAAGAATTCTGCGTCTCCACTTGCTATGTTAGCCAAAAATATCTCCCATCCCTCCCTGCAAATGTTAGTGTTTCACTAGATTACAAGTGGCACATACATCTTGCTTCAGTAACATACCTTTGTTTGAGTTCTGTAAAGCAGTAATATGTCTGTCATGATATTCAGACTTCTCTTAAATGCTATACCTTCATCTCTCAAAATGGAGAGGCTGATAATTCGGTTCATCAAGCAGCTGATCCTCTTTCTGATTATTCAGAGTATCTGTTACCTGACTACCCTGGGATCTATGCAAACATCTGAAGAAGGATCTGAGACACTATATAGTAACTGTAGAATTTCAAGATGATAACATCTGCCTATATGGAAACTTTAGTGCCTCATTTTGAAGTTTGTTTTTAGCAACGGCTTTGAATTGCAAAGACAATGGGGGGGGGGGGGGGGGGGGGGCTCTGTGTTCGTCTCTGTC